CCCCAAAACCCCAAAACCCCAAAACCCCAAAACCCCATCTAGCTATTAAGGGTAAAATTAGGTAATTTCTTTAGTATCATTATAGATATTAACAAATAGTTATTGATTGTTAGATGTGTTGATTCATTTTAGTTCGATCTGTAATCTAGTTAATTCATTCTTACTCAGTTTTATTTGCATCATTTAGACTATTGTTTTTGCTAAGCGTACATTCCTCTATAGGAGAATGCCACTTCTTGCATCTAAGACATTAATCATACTTGTTTTTAAGCCTGATTTCATGGAATTGTTTTGCCTGCATATCAAAGAAGTCCTCATTTTGATAGTTTGCCTCTTGAATTTTCCTATAAAAAGATTATGAATGATGAAAATACAATTCAAAGTCAGTTTCTGACATGTGCAGATTACTAGCGTTAAAATCCATCAAGATTTGTATTGAAATCTCTAATTTATTGAAACTGTATGCTGATGCATCCATATATTGCTTATTATAGTCAAATATCTTAATAAAGCTAACAAAGTTTAAAGATTAAAGCATACTTTAAGTGGCCTAGCAGTCTCTCTATTTTAGCTTTTAATACAATATAGGGGAATATTTGAAGCATATCATCAGCACATGCAGTGTTTATTCCTTCTTCTGTGCTAAATAGCGAGAATGTTGAATCAATAAGTCTGAAACAACTGTAAACACAGTTTTGCTTTGTTTTTGGAGTATAAGATCTTTCTATTGCTTACAGTTCCCGAACTGCACTATCCCACATAGGCTTTGTCAAAGTATCACTTTAAATACCAAAAGCATCAGGACTAAGCCATTAAAGACTTTATATTTTACTGTAAACTTCGTACTCTTTTTAAGATTGCATCTTATTTTCAAATATTTTCTTATAAAGTCTAAGACAGATGAAATCTGCTATTTCCGTCATGTGCTCATCTACATCTCTACTAAGTATCTCATCTTCCATTACTTTTGTCCTCACTTTCTCGTAAAAATCTGCAAAGCATTATTTAATCCCTGCCCACTCTAAATCATCAAATGAGAGCACCTTTCCTATTATTGGGAGCTTAATCATCTTTTGAATGAAGCTACAAAATATTAATTAGGATTTGTCTATTCTTACTCATTGATAGATTTAATTCTTTGCTTATACTTCTTATAATCTCTTGGTGCAGTTGGCCTATTTTAAGATAGTAATTGATTTTAACTAATACTATCTAATTGAATACTCTGGGCCCCTCTCATTGTTACAGTTTACTTTCTGTTGCTGAAATCTACTGATCTTTGAGGAGGACTATTATCATAATTTGCAATATTACTTGCAGAATTCTTTAATTCTTCTTATTATTTTGATGTTTATTTTCTTTCACCAGCATTCTTATCTTGCTTTCCTTTATTTAAAAATCTTTCAAAATCCCCTGATTTTAAGAGGAACTTCATTGCTATGTTTCCCTCTAATGGAGCTCTTTTCTACTTTTCTCTTTCTTTTAATTCTTTCTCCTGCTAAGCTTACTGCTATTGCATCATCATTTTATGAGCTGTATGATCTTATTCATCATTTCTTTGAGGCTAATGTTTGCATTATTAATCACCTTCTGTTATTTCAATAAAATCATTTGGTCTAATTATTTAGATTAATATCCCAAAATTTAGCTTACTCAAATCTGTAAAGGCATAGGTCGAACTTAGCATTTTATATGAACTAACTCCTCTTTTTAACTTTAAACAGTAGTTCGAGATACTTGAAATCTTAATCAAGTTAGTCAACTCTTGAATATAATTAATTGGAGTATCTTATCAAAGTAGAGACATTTTAATTCCTTTCTGCTGTTTAAAGATCTATTTCTCTCTCAAATCCCCCTAAAATAAGCTAGGTGAATTTTCTAAACTCTTCTGAAGGATTTCTAGTTCTTCCAAATCAATTTCTAAAAGAGTGAATAATAAGCTAGGAAGACCAATCGTAATTATTTTGACTATATTTTTTCTATGCCTTATTCTTTTCTATACTCTGTTCTATAACTTTCAAGATCTCTGAGATATTGTTTTTATTCTTGATATTGAAACCATATTGATCAATGAAATCACATTCATTGAGAAGAATCTTAAGATTTTTCTGAATAATTTTATCCTCATGACTTAGATCAGCAATTACTCTCTCATAGGGTGAGGGTTAGTATGTTGGATCAGACTTCTTTTTAGGTTGCAATTCGTTAAACTTATAGAAATAGAAGTATTTTTACTCTTTAGTTTCATAGCCAGATGAAAAGTCTTTTTGAAGTAATGAATCCATATGACCAAGTTTTTTTTCATTCGATTGTTTGACTAATGACTATGAGAATATCATAGAATCTGCTCTCATAGGCTCTTCAGATAGAATTTGGTAACTCTTATTAAGATAGTCAATACTAATATAATTGATCAATTAATTAAAAAATGCTTACTTAGAGCACAAATTCTTTATTGCTTGCTTACTTGTAGTGAATTCTTCAGTGAAATCCTTAAAGAACTGATATAGAAAATTGACATCACTAAGATTCATTATCATTGATTAAAACTGATATTTTTGCTATTTATCTTCTTTTATTGGATCTAATATGTGAATATTGATGTCCAATACACTCTAATAAAACTTTATTATTGCGTCTCTTTTGTTCTTTGCAAGTGTCTAAAATAATTAGAATTTTTCATCCTAACAGACAATCTCTTCAAACTTAAATATTCTTTGCATTAATTTACCCAATAATTTTAGATTTTATTTGCAATTTTCTCCTAGGTAGAAGTCTTTAGTTAAACCATTTTAGCTAAGTTTGAAAAAGCAGACAGGCACAATCCATTTGTTAATTAAAAAGTCTGAAATTATACCAAATAACTTTTGCTAACTCATTAAGTGGCCCCATTTTGATTAACATTCATTATGTAAGACTAAGAAAAATTCTCTGAGGACATAAGGCATTGCATTCACTTTTGAGAAAATCTAGTCAAGTATTGCTTCCAATATTTCATGCATGTGGTTGATCATATTAATGGTAGCTGCTGATTATTGTGCTGATGAAGCTGCGTCTCTAGTGCTCTTTGATTTACCCTCACTAGATCTCTCGTCATTATTTGTGATCAGGATGCTTTCAGTATTTGATCTAGTATCATTTGAGATACCATTTGATGAGCTTTACTTAGAAAGAGTATGAGTAGATTGATTAGGACTGGTGTTTTTATTTTCAGGGAAAGATCTTCTATCAACTTCTTTCCTGTCTGACTTATAAGATGCTCCTCTGCTGGATGATTCATTAGTCTCGTCGAGCTAATTATTTCCTGCGGATGAAGCATTGTGGACGATTTCAAATACAATATCATTAACTCTAGTTGTTTCTGTGACTTAGTCTTAATCTAGTGATGACTTTCTTTATAACCCGCTATAAATACTTTTACAAATTATATTCATACTTACTCATATACCTTGCAAATATCTTTGAAATCGAGGTAATTGAAATCAATACGATCATATTTTGACTTGAACAAGTACGTGATGTATCTTCTTGAATCACTCTACTTTATTAACTCTTTGAAAATCTTTTCTACCATGCACTTCAGCAATTAGTCTGGACTCTCAGCAATCTCAACTTCCTTCTTAATTATCAATCTCATTATTATCATGAACCTAGCATTTAATCCCTGGGAATATGTTAAGTCATTGAATAAAAAGTTGACTAAGGTTTCAGGTATAGATCCGTTAAGATTATTGCTTAACTTGTATAAATTCTGAGAGAATACCTAGAATACGTCCTCATTTTCCCGCAACATAAATAAAAGACTCTGTATTCTTTTGAACGCTTCTCCAAATTGAACTTGTGGTTTTACCTCTAATGTACGTTCTGTTTTAGTCAAAGTCGATTTGGGTAGATGCACCAATTCATCTTTTTCAATTGACTAATTAAATATGTTATGTTCGCTTATGAAGGCCAACTATTGCTTATAATATTCTTGATGCTAATTGGCTATCTTAGAACAATAATCCTCCTTTTCTTTCGCAACTATTAAAAATGAGTTTAAATATTTAGTATTTTTAGGCTTACAGTGCGACTATAAATTTTATTCATGTTTAATCAGCGATTGAAGTTTGCACAAGTCATCAAAGAGCGTCTAATTACTCTATTAATCATCTGTTCCTCCTCCATTATGCATCATCATATTCATTATTTTACTCAAATTTCTAATTATTATACTTTAGCAATCTAATATTATAATTATAGTATCTTATCTGGGGTTTTGGGGTTTTGGGGTTTTGGGGTTTTGGGG